TCCTTTATTGCCTTTATTTTGTTCGGATTAGGTTTTATACCGTTTGGCGTTATCACATGTCCTAGAAATTCTTCTGTTCTTTGTAAAAATTCAGACTTATCGAGTTGAATTTTTAGGTTATATTGTTGTAGTCTTTCAAATACTTGTTTAAGGTTTTTCACATGTTCTTGAAGTGAAGTCGAAAATATGATGATGTCATCCATATATACAAGACATATTTTGTTTTGCAATCCAACACATTATCCATCACTCGTTGAAAGGTTGCTGGTGCATTTTTGAGTCCGAATGACATTCGAGTAAACTCATAGTGTCCATATTCAACATTAAATGCCGTCTTAGGTATAGAGTTGGGATGCATCTCTACTTGATGGAATCCAGATGCGAGATCCAATGTTGTGAAATAATTGCTTCGTCCTAATTTATCCAGTAAATCTAGGTATTGGGTACCTATCGTCGATAGTTTTCTCGTTGAATTTGCGATAATTCACCACCATTCTCCATTTCTGTATGCCAGAAGCATCTTTCTTTTTTGGCACTATCCATACTGGTGAGGACCATGGGCTACACGATGGTTGAATTATATGTTCTTCCAACATTTTTTTATTTGTTGCTTAACCTTGCATTTATGTATATGAGGATACCTATAAGTTTTTGTATGGACGGGTATTTCATCTGACGTTCTGATTTCATGTTTAACCTGATTCGTGAAGGTTAACTTATCATCGGGGTAATGAAAAATCTTAGGAAACGCTCGTACTGCATTCTGTAATGCATTTAAGTCCTCCTGATTTAAATGCTGAGTACGTAAAAATTCTATTGGATTATTATCATATTCATGTGGGTATAACGACGTTACTTGTTCTATATTAATGTCTCAAAAGCTTCTTGATTATAGATAAAACTTGCTTCCCGCTAGGTCATCTTTATGCGTAGTTAGAACAAAAGGTTTATCTGTTAGATTATGCACTTCTAACAATGCTGTTCCGTTTATAACCTTAGCTATTGTTTCTGGTATCATGTATTTATCCGTTTTTTACTTGAGGTATTAGAATCTCAGTATTTTCAAGGATGTCTATATTAAAATGACAAAGTTGAATAGTTTTTGCTGAAATTTCTAAATTTTAGGTATCAAAGTCTGTTCTAAATGGAAATGGAATTGTTATTTCTCCATTACTAAGGCACATATTTGTAAAGTCAATATTTAAATTATTTTCTTGTATTCCTATAATACCTTCAAAATAATCATGAAAATTGTACATTATCATGTCAATATCCTGATCAATATTAAATTCATGTAAAATTGGAATTCTAACTTTACCATGGGCTTTTCTTGTTCCCATACATGTAGTAAGTTTATTTAAAGAGTTCACTATAAAATCTGGGTAGTATTCTTCCGCTATTGAAGGTCTTATTAATGAAGCATAATTACCTGTGTCTATTTAAAGCTTACAAGGTGGATCGACAGTTTCAATAAAAGGTAATTGATTGACTTGGTATGCATTTAAAGTCAGTGCTGATTGTTGGATTCCAAGGCTAGTGTCTGAAAATTTTCATCAGGGCTTTCTTGGTAATCTTGACTTATTTGATCGTCATTTATTTCTGAGTGGTCGGATATTTCTCCGAATTCTGAACTTTCATAGTTCTCAGAAGTTTCGTCTGGCTCTTGTAATTGAATTCCGTATATATTATTTATTTCCTCAATGGTGTATTTTGACGGACCTGCATTGGGATCTGGTCGAAAATAATTTGATTGTTGGGGTTGAAAACCTCTTGAAAAATTCCGTCTATTAATTTGGGAATCTTGTCTTCTTGGTTGAATAGATACACCAGACATAGGTGTCGGTTTTGTCAAGGGAAGGTTATTGTTTGGTTTAAAAACATTTGTTTTGTTGTAATTTCTACCAAACGTACCCAAACTAGTAGGGAATTTATGAGTTATTGCTTTTGGCTGTGAGTTTATTGGTTGTGAAGGAAATTGTGGCTTCACATGGAAATACGGGTTTTGTTGTCTTTGTTGCTGTTGTGTATTGTTTTGTTGGTGTTGAAATGTTTGATTATTTTCTGTTTTAAAATTCGAAAAGGAATTATTTCGATTTTTGCTAAATTTCATATGATTCTCAGCCATCTGATAGTTTAATACAAAATATGTTGCTGCGTCTAATGTTATAGGATTCTGAACCATTAAAATTGTTCTAAGCTCAACTGGTGAATTTGTTATCAAATTCTGTACCGCTGTAACTTCATTTTGAGCTACAAGAATATTTGCAACTGCTAACAAATTGCTGTCACACATTATTTTTGAAGTAATTTGGTGATTAAGAGCTTTCAATCTTTCTAGATATTCATAAATTGATTCCTTTTGGTTTCTTGATGCATAACATTAATTCTTGAATCAAATTTTGACGAGAATAAGGATCTCCATATTTAATTCTTAGAGCTCCCTTAATATTTATCCATGATTTTAAATTTGGACGTGTCATCAAAAAATTTCCAGCATTTTGGGCAGGATCTCCTACATAATAAATGTGATAAAATTCATCAATATTACTAATGAAATATTCCAGATATTGAGTTTCGCTACCAAAAGGCTTCAAAAGTTGAACTATGGATTTCAAATTTTCACCCATGTTTCTGTTTTGTCTTGTTGATTGAATATTGATATAATTGACTTAGATATTCTTCAGTATCTGATTCAGATTCAGACATAAAATAAAACTTTAATTAAACAAGTTTTACTTTAGAATTAAAAAATTAAAAATTAAAATAATAGGATTAAAGAATGTTTTATCCAAAAAAAAATAAAAAATAGATTTTCTTGAAAAATAGGCTTAAACCTTTGCAAAATATTTCAAGAAAAATCCAAAAATAACTCTTAAATATGAAACACCAATAACAAAATATTAGGGAAAGGTTTACTTACTAGGCTCGATGCTAATAACAGTTACACTCTCACTATTTATACGTTGGTTCTCAATGTCTCTTATGTCCAGTTAATACCAAGTGAAGTGGACAGGAATTTTCCTCAAATTTCACTCCAATGATCACCGTAATCCAGGTTTCATTGCAATCTAATTTTCACTATAATCCAAGTTATCACTTATAGATTCAGTTCGATTTTCTTCAGTAATTCGCGGGTCACGATCTCCAACTTCGGAAAAACTTGTGCACTCTGAACATCCGGTTTTTATGAAAAAAACTGTAAAAAATATCCGCACGACTGCGCCAATTAAGTTTCAAATAAGAAACTACTTTTTTAAAAACTTTATTTTAATTAACTAAAGTAAAAGTAAAGTAACATATGAAGACTGGTGGAACTAGTTGCTGTTGTAAAGCATGAAAGCAAAAGAACGATTGTGCATGGTGCACCGCTTTTTATAAACAATAAATGCAAGTTAGCAATATTCACTAAAAACGTCAACAATTGTGATGTCATCGTGGGCGAGCAATTAGTATGCTTCTTAAAACAATAGATTGATTGACTAATTAACATTAGTTGATATGGGAATCGTTCAATATAACTCACTCACTGTTGTATAATAATTTTTGTTGAGGATCTAAACAAAGAAAAAATCCTAAACCAAACCAAAACTAAAATGAAGAATTGATTCAATATGAAAATCTACATCGCTGACTAGTCTTGAACCTGCATTGCAGCATCATCTGTCAGGACTTAAAAGCACCATTTAATTTGGATTTTTATGGCCAAGACGTTGCTGGGCCAAAACTGTACTAAACCCAATAAAAAAAAAATACTGGAATGTGAGAAAATTATCCAAGTTTGGTTATATTGCCCATAAAACCCCCCCGAAATGTTTAATTAACCGTATCCCAGGCACCAAACTTTTCGGGCTAATTTATAGTACATGCATCGTACGAAAACCCATAAACTTAAACTGGAGTAAGCAATAAATTTGGCAATTTACTGGCGACATTTTATTACCATGGTTAAGCCCGTTACATAAGCCTCGGTTACCACGCGAACCTTTACCACTGATTATTATAAGAAGGAAATTTGTTTAATTATAGTGCATGTTGAATTGTTTCTCATTTATACTCCATCTTTTTCAAGAATGCCCATTTCCATTATTAAAAACCCCACGAATGGAAAACACTGTATGTATTTTCTTTTCACTATTGACTCAAAAAACCCCTTCATACATCCAACACAAAACAAAAACGAGCTTTCATTCCCGTGCATTTTCTTTATATGCATTTCCTACATATTACGGTTCTCAGGTCGTTTGGATAATACGCTGACTTTTGCCAGAAGAGTCTTTTTTCGGTTTCTTTTTATTAAAAACTCAAGTAAAAATTGCGGTAGTTGAGCTTTCGCTCCAGGCGAGCTTTTTACCATAAAAGCGCTGGCTGAGGTTATAAGAGAGCGGCTTTGAATTCATTTGAATTTAAAGTTTTATGTGCTTTATTATAGTCAGATGAATATGTTTATTAAAGATTTAAAAATGTTTAATTTACTATATAGATTTTAATTATCATCAAAACTATGTTCAGTAAACATTTGTTGGAACAATAAAAATTAACAAGGATTTGCATTTTTTGTCAAACTAACACAGGAAAAGGAAAGAGATAGGTCATGAACTCAAACTCAAAACAAGATTATCCAAAAGTGCATTTGGGACCAGACAAATCTGCAAGTTTAGTCTGTGGGTTGGGTCTGTTGACTCACTTTCCCTTTTGTGTTTGCTGAAGAGATATGTAAATAACAAAAGGGGGAAAAAACTGAACTGGGGTAGGTTGTATATGAGTCAACAAGTTCAAGGGTAGAATAAATCGAAATAATAGGGGTCAAATGTATAACGTCTATTTATAAATAAGTAATAGAGCAGTAGTAAAAGGAAGCGAGAAGCGATGTCGATGAATATGCATCATTAATGTTATCTACTAATGGATATTTGGAGGCACCTACAGGGTTTAAATATTTTATCACCTAAAGATTTCTGTGCATAAGGAGTAGAAAATTGAATTCGATTTTTTTTTTCCAGATCCGGCCTCACCGTGTTAACAGAACAATCGAGCCGAAGGGGTGGGTCCTCGCGCGACTCGCCCCCTCCTCCACCAGCACCCAGAGGGTCGTCGAAGCCTCAAAGAAACGGAGGGGTACCACAAGGTAACTATTGACTCTAAAATATTATGTAAATGACTATCAAATTTCACCCCTAGTTGAAAACCTACGTGATTCTCTACTTAATTTTTTTTTTCCTATATAATTCTGTCTTCATAGTCTCATGGAAATTCGTCTACCAATTTTTCATTAGCGCATGAACGTCTATTCCTATACTCAGGCGTCTTCTACAAATTTCTAGTTTATCGCCTTTCCTGTTTTCTGTACACCAACCTAGTAACATATTTCCATTAACTTGGAACAATTCCTCTCATTCAAAATATATTCTCTCTCAAAAGTTGAATGACGAAATATTTCTGAAACAAAGAAAGCGGGCATTGATATTGTAATACTAACCGAGACTAAAAAGGGTCAGGAAATATAGGACAAATAAATATGACCACTTCTTCTTTGGAATACCATAAGATAAAAGAGCCAAATAGGGAGTATCTATACTCGTCCGCAAAAGTCTAAGAATGTGCATTACATCTTAGATAAGAAAGCAGTAAATCAATGTATCATAGAACTATATCTTTCCTTGCATGGTAGTAAAGTCACTATTATAGGGGTACACGCTTTAAATGACAAAGGTATAGTAACATCATAACATTTTCCATGTGCTGCAACTATGCTAGGAGACCTAAATACTAAAACGGATGAAAAAAAAGTTGGAGACAAAATAGTACTTAGGTCAATTCGAATAAAAAGCTTCCTCTAAATTTTTCAGCGATTCTTATCCTCGTGGAGGACTACAATCCCTAAAAAATCGGGTAATGAGCGGGAGTACAGGTAATAGACGGGATAATTTTATTTATTTATTTATTTATTTATTTATTCTAAACCTATTTATATATTCTAAATGGTAGTTCCTAAAAGTAATTAAAAATTAAAAAACAAAATTAAATACTGCTCAAAAATAAAAACATAGATATACAGATATCATACAAAAGTAATCTGGGTTAAAGTCAAGCCGCATAAAAAATTAAAAATTCTGATGAAAACACATAAACAAAGGTATATAAAATAAAAAATAAATAGGAGTCACAGTTAAAATTACATAAACATTATCATCTTCTTAATTTGTGGCAGGGAGTAGTTAAAAATATCACAGTCGCACTAGAAACGGTTCTAGTTAACCACCAATCTGTCCATGAAAGCAGTGTGGCCATAGTTGGTACGATGTTCGTCTTCATAAAACAGTTTATGTTGCCTTAAGGGAACTTTCAAATTTTGTAAGCCTAGCAAGGTGTCACAGTCGATCATCCCATTGCACAGCTTGTAAAGGAACATGAACATAGCTTTTCTTCTTCGGTGTTCAAGACTTTTCAGTCCACAAAGCAGTCTAGTTTCATAGGCTAGTCCGTCTGAAGGAAAATGGTACCTATAAAGAAGGTACTGAACCCTTTCTAATCTGCTTTTACTGAGGTCTTTCTAGAAAACCACTCCCAAATCATTGAATGAGTTAACTGAGGTGAGCAGTTGATTGTTTATGGTGTAGTTATGAACAATTTGATTTTCACACTCATAAAAACTGATGGATTTGCATTTTGAAACATTAATCTTCAGGTGATTGGGGGAACACCAAGGTGTAAACTTGTCAAGGTCATCCTGTAATCGGTTGTGGTCCACAGATACATTCAAGCCTATGATGTATCATTTTCTGTTATTTTAACAGCAACGTTAAGTTGCCTGTCACTGTTTGTTCTATACATCAAAATAGAGAGAAGTATAGATATTGAGCTATAACATAGCAGTTAAAATAACAGAAGTGGATACATCATAGGCCTGATTAGCGTACATCAAGAAATGAGAAAAAGAGAAGCAGGACGTTACGTCGTTGATAAAGAGAAGAAACAGTACAGGTCCCAGGTGAGATCCTTGAGGGACACCAGAGGTAACCATTACTTCACTGGAAAGTGTACCACCAACATCAACTCGCTGCCGGCGATCACCAAGGTAATATTGGATCCAGCTGAGATAGTTCCCCAATTCCTGACAATTTATTGAGGAGGAGCCGGTGGTGAACATTGTCAAAGACCTTGGATAAGTCGGCATAAATAGAATCAACTTGATGGCCCTGTTCAACTGAGGTAACCAAAAAGTTCTGGTTGACTGCAATGTTGGTTGCGGTAGAACGTCCTCGGTAAAGCCATGCTGGACAGAGTTAATGTATCTGTTGTAAGGCGTGATTATCTCGTCAGTTAGAATAGATTCGAGGAGTTTAAGAATAGCAGATAGGATAGAAATACCACGATAGTTCTCGATGTCACACTTGTCCCCCGACTTGAAAATGGACAATAGAAAGGAAAGTTTCCAAGCTCCTGGAAAAAAGCCTTCGTCCAATGAGCGTTGAAAAAGTTGACGAAGTGGCGAAGCCAGAGAAGTTGCACAATTTTTCAGCATGACAGCTGGGACATCATCGGGACCTGCTTTTTTTGACGTGTCGAGCTCCTTCAGTTTTTCACATACATATTTCTTCAGTAGTGAAATTGTGGGTAGAGAGAACACCAGGATTCATCCGACTCAAATCCAAAATAGATACCTACGTTGGTATAATATGTTGCATTCAGCAATATCTTCAGGCTTGGTCACTGTTTTTCCGTTATGTTGCATTTGGGCCGGAAAGCCTGAATTCCTTTTGAGATTATTGATAAATGACCAAAAGTGCTTGATATTTTCCGGAATTAAATGCTCAGTATTGGTAACATAAAGTAAGTAACACATATCAGTCATTGCTTTAACTTTCGTCGGATATTTGAGTAGGCATTACAATCACTTGGAGTCCGGGCTTTCATATATCTCTTGTAAGCTTCATTTTTAAGAGCAATGGACCTTCGGAGGTCGGTGCTAAACCATTTTGGATATTTATCAGTTTTTATGGTTTTCTTAGGAACACATTGATAAATAGCATCATACAGGATGTCATAAAACTGGCATATAACACTTTCGAAATTTTCTGTGTTACAAATGAAACTCCAATCAGTGCTACTCATCAGGTACTGATTTAGGCTGATGTAATCTGCGTGCCGAAATTGATAGACAGTTGTTGAGTTATGACTGATTAGCTTATTGATGAACCGGAGGTTCAAAGTTGTTTCGGTAGCTGGGGTGATGAGGGTCGATTGGTAAAAACGAAACGGAGCTGCAGGTCACCACAGTCTTGTCAGAATCATCAGCAAAAATCAGATCAAGCATTTCACCGGACGCATTATGTATTTGGTTAATTTGCTGTAATTCTAAGGACGTAGATGGTATCAATTATGTTTTCAGCAATTTGATTTACATTGGAAGGTACCAATGTGTCATCCTCTATATATCCATCTGATATGTGATGTGGTAAATTAAAATCTCCATAAATCAGGAATTTATGGTTAGAGAACTTTTTGCGCAAAGCTTCGCAAGTACATGAGAAAGATTTGTAAACATCCACTGGTGAGTTTGGTGGTATATATACACATCCAATTACTAGGTTAGTCTTGAGAGCGTTGAGCCCTACCTATACATCTTCAAATTCCTTGAAAATTTACGTTGAAATCGGGAAGGATTTCAAAACGTTACTTGCAGCTATAATTACTCCTCCACCACGCTGAACGTTGAGTTGGTCGTAATTTCTGTCTCGTCAAAAGACTGTGAAAATGTAGTCAAAAAGTTCGGAGTTATGGAAAGAACTGTTTAGCCAGGTCTGGAAGAAAACAATAATTTCGAAGTCGCGAGCAGCTGTAGATCTCAATAGTTCATCGGTCTTTGTACGTAAGCCTTGGAAGTTTGGATATTATATGGTAGGTAACTAAGTTGTTAGATTGGTGGACAGATTCGACGACGGTTGTAGAGAATCCGTAAGCGGCGTTGATGGCAAAGCATCGGTGGATCTAGAAGTAGTTGAAAGAGAACTTTCGCTTGGCTTCTTAGTAAGTGGTAGGTAATCATATGGTAAAGTTGTTGGGCTAAGTTTAATTTATCGTAGTAATTTGAAATACCATTATTCATAAAAGTGAATAAGGGAAGAAAGTGGAAATTGTTCGATTGTTTGGCGATTGTATTCGATATAAACAAGTTTTGCTCGTGAATAAAACGATTTAGGATCGGTCTTCTGAGATGGAGGGGGGATCCCAAAATAATGTTAGTTTTCTGACTAAGCTCGCAAAGTTTAAGAATACTAGCCTTTTGAGGTGTTCGCCCAGTAAACGCGTTTTCAGATCCCTGTATAAAAATAATAAATTCTTCCTTGGTGAAAGTTTTCGACGATGCTGTACACAGTTCAACCCCTTGTTCGAAATTTAACTGATTCCTCCATTGGTTATTGATGTCAGTTTTCTGAAAATATTTCTCAATACGACCGTGCAAATCCTGGATATTTTCGTCTCCAACTATTAATAACGAAGGGTACTTGTGGGATGTGATTGAATTCGCATGGTTTCTGATAACTGTTCCATTAGATGTTGATAGAGATGTCTCATTTACCAATATTTTTTTCAAAAGGGAGGGTTTATCTCTAAGGCTATCCGGTCTATTCTTGAGGTTTTCTATTTCGTCCCGATAAGATTTAATTTAATTTTCCAAAACTCGAATAGAGTCTACTATGTTCCTGTTCATGCTATTCAATTTTTTAGTATAATCGTTTCATCGTATTTTTAAGATCAACAATTTCTGCCTTGAAGTTTGCACTCAAAGCTTCGTAATCCTCAATTTCATGGGATTGCTTACCTAACAATAGTTTCATGTTCTCTATTACTGAATCATGATCGTCGTTCTGTGGATCAGTTTGTACTGGGCGATGTCGCATTTGACAAGAGATATAGTTTGTTGTGAAGCCTCTCGTACAGGTTTGCAGCACTGAGTAGATTTATAGATAGGGAGGTGAAATTTTCAGGGAATCTTATCCTAGTAAAAGATTACAAACCCAAAAAATAGCGTTAATGTGAAACTTTCAGCGAATCTTATCCTAGTAGAGTAATTTTTTGGAGCTCTTGGCATTTTTTGGTATTTTTTGGAATTTTTTGGTATTTAAAACAGTGCAACTTTAATTGACTAGCTACCTGATAAAAAATGAAAGTTCACTACAGCATTTAGTTTCTGATAGGCCGAAAGTATCGGTCCATTCAAATATTTCAGTATCGTTGGGCATAAATAGACCCAAAAATAATGCCAAAGTAATAAGTATAAAAAGAAACTTTTCAAATATTCATAAGGATTACTTCAAACGATATTTGCTTACTTTAAATTGGTCATCAGGTAGTCAAGATATCAATGTTTGAGCAGGAGTTTCCACAAGAAATATTGTAGATGCGCTTAAAGTTCAAGCGCCATTTAAAGAAATCTATAATTTCAAACTAAGAGTTTGGTTCAGCTATGATCTTATGATGAGTTTACAACATAGAGATCAGCTATTGTCCGTCGATTTTAATCTGATACTCGGACGGAATGTGAGCTGGTGGCTCCCTACATTAGAACGCCAATGGTTACCTGACGTCACACCTGTTTTTGCCGTATGAAACACCCCCTCGCTCCTCATACGGAAAGTGTCAGTTAAAAATCGCCGAACAATATTTAGGTTAGCAAAAGAATTGAGAACTGAGGAACATTGAAACAACTACAAGATTGTGACGTGAGGAATAACAGAGAGGTAACATCTAAATTGAGACATGAAACACGGAAGTACTATAGGTAAAAAAGTTGAAAAACTATCTCAAATAATTGAAACTGTAATTTTGCAAAATGATCAAGTAATAGCAATAAAGACTTAGTGAAATCAACAAAAAATGTAAAGGGTTTTGGTTTTGATTTTGTGTTGGTAAGAATGTCACCAGTTGGTTGTTCCTTTGACAGCACAGTTTTCATTCAGTTGATTCGGAAATGTTATCCTCAAAAGTTTCAGGTAGGGGGAGGAGTGATCCAGTGATCAAGACGGAATTGACTGGAACACGCGTAAATTCACTCTTGATATTGCAGGAGAATTTTTCCTTGATTTGATAAACATATCTCTATCACCACAGGGATTTTTTCCTGAAACCTGGAAATGTTCCACTGTAGTCTCAATCGAAAACATTACCAGTTTATGAAAAGGTATTTTAATTGCTAGTGGACCAGCTGGTTGGAAATCTCAGACACAGAAGAAAAAAGTCATTGGTGTAGTATTTTTGGATCTCAATAGAGGTTTTGAAACAGTTAGCAATCGATCTTTTGTTACTAAAACTGGCAAAGTACTGAAATGGTTCAAGGGATACTTGACTAAAGCGATTTCAGGTTGCATTTGAAAATGCCAATTCTAATAAGTAATAACATATGGATAGATCAAGGGGTTCCTCAGAGTTCACTGTTGGGACCTATTCTTTTCCTGTTGTCCATTAATGATATAGTTCTTGCATGAATAAATTCATGATTCTTGGTTCTAAACACTGCCTCAATTAAGTTCAAAGACAAGGTAGTAATGCAGCAGTTATTATGAATAACGGTATCTTAGAATAGGTTAAATCCTTCAAGTATTTAGTACCTATTTGAGTGTAATTCTAGATCCTGAACTTAATCTATGGGTACCTACTTGCACTGTGACTAGATAAAGAAAAAAATAGCAAAAAAAAAACAGGTTTTATGTACAGACTGAATAACAAGATCTCACTTTTCGTTAAGTTCACAACAAAAATGCATTCGGCTTTAAGGAGGGTTCTCATAGAAATTTTATCCAAATAAATTGAAAAAGAACCACGTTATTAGGGTTCGACCATGGATATCTCGTAGAGAGAAACACATGGTGCGCATCTTGCACATTATTGGTTGAACTGGCTAAGGAAGATCACACAATATTCAAAATTCAAACCCTACTAATGTACTTTACTAAATACGGCTGAAATCATCCTGTCTATACGCGTCCAGTACACTTGACTTAACTAACGACTTTACTTGCTCTAATTATTATTATTATTATGTTACAATAGTTAACAGTTTACACTGATGAAAATATTGGATTACTTGTAAGTTTATCGTCGTGTTTTTGATGTTATTGTCCATACTGAATATCCACTTGGAATAGTGCACTTGTAGCGGTGTCGACCTTATTCTTGAAAGAATTCAAACTCTGCGCGGTGACTGTAGAATTTGACAGACTGTTCCATGGGTAGACAAAGACAATTCGATTTCCTAAGAAGTTCCTTCTTGGAAGCTTGTCGATTTTTTCCTGGCAACTTTAAAGTATGATATCGTAGATGGAGGTTATTGTCATTGAAGGTAAAGGTGTCAAGGTTACAGGAGTAGACATTTCGAATAATCTTATATGTCTCGATCGGATCTCCTCTCAGACGCCTTTTCCTCAAAGAAGTGAGTCCCAAAGTGTAGAATCGAATAAGGTACCTATTCTTCATTATGGAGTGATGGTGGAATCTTTGTTGCTCGTCTCTGCACACGTTCTAGTATCTCAATATCCTTTATGAGGTACGGATTCCAAACTGAGTGGGCGTATTCTAGTTTTGAACGTATAAAAGATTTATACAGTTTCATAATTTAATGGTGTCACACGACTGGTCTTCAAAGGTCTTTTTCACAAGGTACCATGTATGAGGTGGATTTTTTGGCTATTTTTGTTACATGCATCTCCCATTTCAGATTATGGGTCACTATGTCACCTAAATCCATTTGTTCCCTCACAGCTCCAGCTCAACATTGTTTATTTTGTAGACATATTCAGTGGTATTGTTCCCAATGCTCAAGATAGTATATTTTTCTTCGTTTAGCCTCATTTTCCAGGTATTGGACCACACTTCTATAGCTCTGAGATCTTCTTGCAATTTCTTGTGTTCAGCGGCCTTTGCATACAATTTCGAGTCGTCGGTAAAAAGTAGGATTTTGGTTTGGATATTTGATGTCATATCGCTAACATATACTAGAAAAAGTAGAGGGCCAAGTTTTATGACCAATGAAATTCGCTCTGACTGGTTTGTGATTTCTGCAGGAACAGACCTAATATAAATGGGCATATCCAATGAACAAGCATGAATTAATCATAATATTATCATTTTCCTCAATGGAATAATCCGTTCTGCATATACAAGAGACCAGAAATTTGATGTTACAGATCTTATAATATCAATCCACAATGACTGTATTGGGGCGAATGTATTAAATTGATTGTTTACTGTATGGAGTATAATTTGTGTCCATTTAACTCATCCTTAACCAAAACACACACTCCATTTCCAGTTTGATTTTCTTTGTCTTGGCGGAATACACTATACCCATCTATCCTAATAAGACCATCAACGATGTTCTTATTAAGCCAAGTATCTGTTACTAAGATGCACGCAGGATTATATAATGTATTTGTATTGATATTGACCATTCATTGATTTTGTTGTTAATAGATTGCAAGTTACTGTACCAAAAGGTGATTTCAATCTCCGAACTGCTACCCTGATTGTTACTTATTAGTTTTTTGGATCTCATATCCTCCCAATCTTTACAATTTGTGTTTGATTTTTTTTTTTTAAGAAAAATGTGATTGTGCTCTAGAAATTCATATAAACTTTTACTAGAATTTTTTGTTTGGATTGTTTTACTTAGAACTAAAATCTATTTCCAGGATCGGATTCCAAACACTCGAACGGCCACCATTGGAAACGTTACGGTGACTCCCCTGGGGTAGGCAGCCCTCCACCACCTGCACCTGGTAGTCCTACCTCGAGTAGAAGAGAAAGAGGCGAAAGACGGAGTAGTCCCCATGGGAAAGAAAAATCGAGCGGTAGTAAGGGAGTGCGAGGTGTACCTCAAAGTTTCGGGTAAGAATACCTCCTATATATCAACCCAATATGGTATTGTTGAAATAATTTCGTTTTAGATATGTTAAGAGAAATGGTACGAGTAATGGTAATGGAGCTACTAATGGAACTGGACCTCCGGTGCAAGGTATCTACAGTACAATTTATTATAATATTGCATTGCAATTGGATTTTTGGACTTTTTTGTTTAAAATTTGTCGCTTTAGCCTGTAGAACATTAATCACTGTAAATGACTGTAAATGACCACTATCCAAAATTGCCTGTTAATTTTACATGGATTTACGTATAGCTTAGTTCGTAGCAGTTGTATTTTTGCTTCCCTTTACGATTTTTGGCATTGATAAAGTAAACCTAAACAAAAAAATAGCCAACTCATTCAATGATTGACTGACGTTACTTCATTACCTACCTATAAATCAAATCGATCGATATCAAAATAGCTTCGCGACCCAACTTTCCTGTCAATAGCTTGGCTTAATGGGCCAAAATGAAGTCCAGAATTAATTTAGTATCGATCTAAATTTGCACGCATCTAACCGATTACCCAAATCTATTTATACTTCCATCACCTCAGAATGATTGACAATAACAGTTAGTCTATAATTTAGTTATCTACTGATTATACGATTCAATTTCTATCTATTTTAGTTATCCAAAATCACAATGGAAAAACTACATCGGTTGCATCAGTTTCAAGGACCAAAGTCAAAGTTTCAGGTGGCACCCAAACGTGTTCAAGTGATTTGCAACAATCAAATAGTAAGTATACTTATATATCTAATACCATATATATTAATTGAGTACCGACTTTTTCCAGAACCTTCTCCGCCCCAATTCAAATCATACTCACTCACTGGTAACACGGCGAATCAGTTGTCTCAGTCAGTAAGAGAAAGGCTTATGATGGGTTCGCAGAGTCTTCCAAAAGGAGGTGTTCACCAGGAATACGGTTTGGTGATGAGACAAACGAGACCTAAAGCGAGCGATGGATCGCTTAGCGATACTCAGGCAATAGAAAACTGTAGCCCGTATGCACCTTGGTTGCGACACAGGTAAATAACACACATAAATCCGCCACTAAAGTTTTAATTTGCTAAAAGCTTTTTCGATTTCCTAGACAAGTTTGTTGCTCGGAACAAAGTTTAATGAGTCTAGAGATTTTCTACTTATATTGATGAAGCTCTCATAATTGAGGGCTTGAAAGCCACTTTAAGTTTCCCGATATTACGGAGGAGTTTTTATCTTAAGTTTGTATCGCATAAAAATTCATTGAAAGGTATTCAATTTTGTTTTCTACGGTAATGATAGTCAATTTGACGGTAATGATGGCGCCTACGATAGAGCGAATTTCCAGGAATGAACCTGCTTTTTTTGATTGAGGGATTTGAAGAAGATTTTTCCAGGCTCAGATGCTTAATTGGGATAATACAAGAGTTTCTCTTTGTTTTAAAGGCACAATTTTATTTCCACTGCAAAGTTACATCTCCTAGCCATATTTCAATTGAATTTAATATAATCTACACACGAGATATCCATTTCACTAGAATAATGTATTTGGATTTAACTTATTTATATAGGAGAATGAGTCTTCTGATATTTCTATTATTTCGAAATTTAGCTGGTCAAGACAAATAATGATGAACTTGAAGACTGTTAATTAAATTCCGAAAATAGACCACGATGCTAGAGACAAAAGACATTTGAATTAACAAATGAATGTAGACAGAATACTAAACACCCAATGAAATTGATGCCGAAATAGAGGAAAATGTAATACATGTTTCGTAACCATGTAGGTATATGCTTTGAAGGGAAACAAAACTTAAACAATGTCGTCTGAAACTACAAGTATAACTTCTTGTTGGTATGTACAAACTCCTCGAAAACAAGCTAGATGTTAGAACTTAGAACAAGAAGTGGCTTTCAAGTCTTTTGTAACTATTGAGAAGTTTCAGTGTATTCTGGCATAGACTTATTAAAAGTTCGCTACAACAAAGAGTCTGTATATATAAAGTTTCGTATTTTTTTCAGCAATACTTATTCAGTAGCACCAAGGCTCTCAGAAACCGACAGCATGGAGAGCCTCACTAGTCTTCCAGGTCACAGAAGTAGCCTTACACATGCGCGTCTTTTACGCGATTCGCCTTCTCGATTGAGCAGAAGTAATAGCATAAGGTGAAGAAACAATAATTTAATATTTGTGTACACATTTATATTATCCGTTCATCCGTTCACAATCCGATGTCCACAGGTAAGTAAGTAGAGGTAAAATCACCTTTCAATGCTATTTGATAGGGAAAGGTGATAAATTTACCTGCACCTGTGGACATCGGATTGTGAACAGGATATACGATATACAACTCATCGATCAGAGATTTCACTATGTTCAAATGGCCTTTGAGCATGGTAAAACCTAAAAAGATTTGAGTCCGAATCTGGCCCTATTAAACGTAGTTTCTTTCACATAGCTATCTCCGAGATAGGACATTTCCAAGGTAGAAATAATAATAAAGTGTGACATCATTGTGCTTTTTTTGCGAACATCACAGGATTTTTAGCTTTTAACCGTGTCGTTCAGCTTTTGTGATTTGTAGGAGCTTTAACAAATTCATATACTTAAATTTCAATGGTGATTTGTATTGCTGGTGCTTCCTATACCTTTGTATGAGCTATTACACAACAAGTCGCTTGCCATCGTGTCAAGAAATATTGCTCTGCAGGTTATTACAACTGGTGGTTCTATGCTTGTTCTATGAGTTCTTCTATTGTAAAAGTAGTTATTATTAAGTCCTATTTTCTCTAATACAGTCAAATTGGTTTAAACGAAAAATTACATTTGGTACACCTATTTTGTATGTAGATATTTGAAGCACCACACACAAGCAGCTTTCAAGTATTCCAAGGACATAATTTCGCTTGTAACGTAATAATTAAAAATAGTAAAAATCTCATCTGTTTTAGATCGACCAAATCCGAAAAATTGTATCCCTCCATGTTGCACCGTAACACTGAACCAGAAACGGAACCTTATTATTGTCTACCCATTGGAAGCATTTCTCATTGGTCGCAACCGACTAGTCCCGCTCCTGGTAATGGTAGATCGTTTCCATTGAGTCCTACTCATGGTGGAACGCCTAGGCATAGTATACCTAAGAATGATGAACGTAAGTATAGAGCTTAAATTTAGTTGATTCCATTGGAATATGTTAGGTACTTACTTAGGTACATGCTTGTTTTCTTAGATTTAGGACTACTGCCGGTTGTTTTAGAAAATTTTAACATGATTCACGAGTCTAGGTATTTTTAAAGACAAAAAATTCGTTAAGGTATTATTTTGATCGTTTCTTATTATTAGAAGAAAACTGCAGTTGATCATAGATTTTTGAGAGTTTAAATTCCACTCATGGCCAAATTTGGAGGAAAATATTTGGTTGATCGCTAGCAAATTAAAAGTCTTGGAGAAGATTTTTCGAAGTTTACTGGAAAAGGCGTGAAATAGGAATCAGAATGACATGAACAACATGAATGATAGAATAAACGAATTACTATGATGATAGAGAGCAGTTGTGGGTGAAGGACGAAGTAGAATTCAGTATATTTCAAACTGATTACAATACCCCCACCAGTTTGAAATATACCAGTAGTTTTATTTAACTGAAAACATAAAAATTAAAGATAGGTCTAACATACCAACAAGCTTCTTCATAAAATCTAAGCTGTCTCTGCTTGTACAATACCCAACAAATGAACAAATTCAAATTTATAATGTTTAGTTGACCCTAAAGCTTTTGTCAAGATGTCCGCTGGCATCTCACTCGATTCCAGATATTTAGCCTCTGTCTTACCACTTTCAATGGATTCTCTAATAAAATGGTGACGCGCATCTATATGCTTGGAACGTTTATGAAAAACTGGATTGGACGAAAGCTTTAGTGCACTTTGGGAGGTAAATCGTCTCTTTTGCTGCCTCTGATAAGGCCATTATACTCGGCTTCTGTGCTGGATAGAGCCACTGTTTTCTGCTTGGTACTCTCCCAAGAAATCTAAGAATTTGAAAAAGTAAAACAGAAGGCAGTATAAGACCTGTCTACAATGTTGTTGCTCCAATCAGCGTCCACATATCACACTAAAATGACTAGAACTCTTTCCAAATTTCAGAAAATAATCTTTTGTCTTTTTAAGGTACTTCAAATAATTATTTACATTCCAAGCTGCGAAAGCGTACTTTTACACAAAAAAAAATATATACCAGGTGTCCCACTAAGGTCGGCCAGGTACGATATTATGGAAACCGCATAGACCTTACGGCTTCGGGATTTTTTTTTTCTTCACTAAATCGGCCAAGAGAATTGGATGGAAATTATTTTCAAGTTTCTAGGATGACCGCTATGGGGCGCAATTACGATGATATAGCTAAAAATTCAACTTTTCTCAAGAAATCGTTATATTAAAATACTGTTTTAACAACAGAAATCAAAAGTTCATTAATTTTTGCGCCAGTTTGGTTATTAGGCTTTTTTTCGTATCTTCAGTAATAACGGTGGGGGAAGCTGGTGAAATTTTTTTTTTAGAAATTGCTGTATCTTCCATACCCCTCATTCAAACTCATTCAATTTGGGTTTATTTGGAAGAGAATTTCATTGTTATTAACACCACTTCGTTCGAGGTCGATAGTTCCCACCGCGTCTGCTAGAGGGCCTAATTTTCATGAAAAATCCAAATGGCATAATATTATTTTTGTATTGCTGTGCTTAAAGAGCAAAAAAAATATCTACATTTTGGCGCAAACCGCAATTCAATATCTGCATTCGTTTTCAAGTTACGAGAGGTCTATGGTCTCCATAATATCGTACCTGGCCGACCTTAGTGGGACACTCGGTATGTATAACTAATATTCAGTTTTTCTAGCCGCCACTGAAAAAAAAAAGTAGAATGACAACTTTTGACGAACGTGTGTTTCAGTGTTTCAACCACTTCAACGTTAACGTTACTTTGGTAACATAACAACAAAAAACATATTTTGAGAGTTTCCAAATCTATATATATAAAACACAGTTGTGTTTTGTGGAAGCACTTATAACTCGATAACGGCTGGACCGATCTCCTTGAAATTTAAACCACGTAGTTTCTATCTGAAGGGAAGTGACATAGGCTACTTTTTATCTCGAAAAAAATATTTTTAATTAATTAATAATTAGTATAAACAAACTCATTCACATACATGACCCAACTTTTTTTGTTGAGAACATGAAACAACGTTGCCACATTTGTTTGAGCTTGTAAGTAATATTCACAGAACGTAATTGTTTTCAATATAAAGTTGATGAGTACCTACGTCTCTTGTAGTTCAATATTTGGCTAAAATTTAGTTGAAAATGAATTCCATTGAAGAGGCAGCAATTATCGCGTGCAAAAGTTTGTTACCAGACAAATCCAAAGACCGTTACAATCAAGCCTATGAAAATTTTATCAAAAGGTGTACAACAAAAGATGTGTCCACAATAACGGAAGATGTTTTATTGGTATTTTTCTCAGAAAAATCAAAGACATTGTCTCCGGCTACATTATGGTCAGAATACTCAATGTTAAAATTGACTATTTCATTAAATAAGATACAGGATATTTCGAAATGTGGCCGCTTGAAGGCATCCATAAAAAGAAAAAAATGACGGATATCAACCTCAAAAATCTCAGGTATTTACAATGGATGATGTATCAAAGTTTTTGTTAGAAGCTCCTGATGAAATATATTTAATAAAAAATGTGGTAGCGATTTTTGGAGTAGCTGGGGCATGCCGTACTGACGAGTTATACAATCTAAAAGTGAACGACGTGGAGTACAAAAATTGCATTATGTTAGTGCAGATTCTCACTACAAAAAATAATGAGCTGTTCTGTTACTACAAATCTTCTTTATTTGTAGTAACAGAAGATTGGGTAACATTTGTTAATCGTTATATGAAACTCCGTCCAGAAAAGGCTCAAGAGCAACGCTTGTTTTATCGGTATGAGCGCGGCAGATGTGTAAATCAGGTGGTTGAAAAGCATACAATTTCAAAAATTCCGTACGACATGACATAGCCAAATTTCTCAAAATTCCAAACCCAAATCAGTAGGGGAGAGTCGGTGAATTGTGCGCACCTAAGGAAAAAGAAAGATATTTTCTAAAATATGGCTCATGGAGCTCTGAAATTTGGCATAGATATTCTTCTGTGTTATAGCTGACAGCCCAAATCAACCAAAGATCACAAAGAAAATATTCTGAGCCTAGGGACAAAATTAGATAAAAACTGACACTGCGCACGATTATCCACCCTATGCGGTTAATGGTGCGCCCTAGTCAGGGCAATTGTGCGCAACAGAAAACTATTGAAATTTATCGGATATAAAGGGTGGTTTAAAAACAAGTGAAACAAAGTACATAATACGTTTATTGCAAACATAATATTAAACTAAATTATTGCATAAAAACCATAACTAGTGGTCGCAAAAGTCGCAGATGTAACATTCGGGGGAGTCTACCCCACTGCAAAGCTCATGGGCCCATTTGTTCATCATCATCACATAACTGGCTGTCTGAGACTTCTTCACTTTCCTCAAAAACCTTCCTTTTAACGGTCTTATTATTTTTAGCGGGATGTTTTGCACTCGCTTTACCTTTTTTTGGCGGTTTTTGTTCTAATTTTTTTTTCCAAATTTGCTTGCCTATCTTTTTTTTTGACTCGCAGGCTATCAAAACTTCTTTATTGGGTGTCTCCGTTAAAATTTCGGATTTCTGTTTCTTACGTCGTTGAATTTTACTTGTAGATGGAGTTGGAATTGGGCTCAATGGACCTTTCTCATGCAATTAACAACAAGGATAGTTTATTAAGATTTTTGCAATAAAGAAAAAGACACATATAATGACGCGCGATACCTGTGTGGAATGACTTTGATTGGTTCCACTTGTCAAATTGTGCAATTTCGGTTATGTTTCTGTTTTTGTTTATTTTCAAACGTTAATATGACAAAATATGTATTAACATTAATTAGAAAGAAAACCCACCGCAGCAAAAATGTTTGCAGCAAACCTTTAATTGTACATTATTATTGTATTTGAATCAGTGGCGGCTCGTGGTATAACATATTGGGGGTGCACATAATTTGTAATTCATAATAAATGCCAAAAGGGGGATGCCCGCCGGAGGCGCGAAATTTTTCGGGGTGCCACGCCCAGAAGTGTTTATTTTAGGCCTTTAAAAAAATAATTTATTGTAAGTGATCGTATGAGTTATGTGATGTGTTTACCTACCAATAATTAAAAATATTGTTAAGGGATTTCATATCTACCCTACCAAACAACCAACTAAGCTCAATTTCTTTTTCGGTCTATCAAATCGTGGAAATTGAAGGATCTTATATCAATAAACTAGAAATTAAGTAACAAAGTAACATACCTCGCTGAGTACATCGTCCTGGTCTAACAATTGTTTTTATACATAAATGTATTATAGTTTTCAATCTCACAATTCTCACATACACGTTTTGTATTGAAAGATAAGAGTAAGATGTGATTTTGAGTTTTGATGTTTTTTAATTTTTTCGGATAAATGTACTAAATCTTTAACGCCGGATTTTGTCCATTCTGATGCTTCATCGCTTCCAAATAACAAACAGGGAAAACAGTAAAGACTATTACTAACATCACAACCGCACAACCAGTCAGTTTTTTCGTAAGTTTCCATTTTAAAAGTTCGTTTATAATCACGACTTTTGCATTTTGTTATGTTGGTGATTATTAAATTTGGCTTTGGACGGCCGACACATTTGATTTGGATTTTTTCCTCCAAAGAAAGCGAAGAAAATTTAATTGTTTTTAAATATTGCACGCTAAGGCTATCGGGGTTAAAGTGCACTGACTACATGTGCACACCAGCCAGCTTAAAACATCGAACGTCGCTAGACCTTCGCGGGGAACAAAGAGTGCGGGGGGGCATAGTTCCACCAATTGGATTTAATATTGAAATGTGCAGTGAACGGGACGATCAGGCGATGCGGTGGACGCTGTGATTCCAGCGTTGCCGGTTGCGTTTGTTTTGCTGGCGCATTTGGCCACTAATTTTTTAAATTAATACTTTACAGGTAGAATGTTAAAATTTGAAGAATGATAAAATTAAATTTAAAG